GGCCTTATGATTTCCGAAATAAAACTTTAATGGATTATACTACCGACCAAGTGGGAGAATGATAGGAATATATTCCGTTTCTATTATGTGGTCTTATAGTAATCCATTTTCTATCGGAAAATTGTTTTCTCTAATATATTTGGTGACCAATCAAATTGGTTATTAAGGAGTTTTTACCCTAATTAAGCATGATTAAGCCATTAAATAAAATTAAGCCAATCTTTGACACATGGTGAAGGCAAGAAGACAAGTGGCGAAGAAGCGACACTTGGTGACCATCGCAACACTTGGCGACCAACGGTTGACACTTGGCATCCATCAAAGGACACGTGTCATCCATTAGAAGACAAGTGTCACTTATACTAACACCACTTGTCACACATGCATTCATCTCTAATATGATGAATGGCTGAGATTGATCCGACTTTGATGGACGGTTGTGATCAATCCGAAACTTTAACGAGGAAGGGGTCCTCTCCCCACCTATAAATAGATGCCTCAGTCCATCTTGATGGCATACTTAGAGAAAAACACAACACCTTAAAGAAATCTTGTGGACAAGGGGAGAGAAAGCCTCATCTCCTATCTAACGATCTAGCCTTCGTCTTTCATTCGTAAAACCGATCAAGAAGACTTCACCATCAAGATGAATGGAGATATTCCGCTAACCCTCTTCATGATTTATTATGTGATTTTCTAGATGTTTTAAGATCTTAGATTTTCTAGATGTTCTATATGATTTTTTTTTTTAAACGTCTGAAAACTTATATTACACATTCGATACATAATCCACACTCTCAAGGTTTGAAACATAAACTGAAATTACCACTTATAAAACACAAGTAGCATCAACACCCAAACAAAAGGGCCAAAAAGATGCTACAGTTTTTCTTCTTGAGCAATCAAATCGTGTAACCGAGACGGTCCTCCTTGAGCCAAATACGAGTTAAATCTCCCATCCCTTGTTACACTCCTCGCAATTGCTCTCGCAATAGAGTTTTCGACAATCGCTTCTGTTTTGAATAAGCATGTCTCAAAACCATTCTTGACTAACTCAATATGATGTAGAAGAACCCTTTGACGAGGCCATTGTAGAGGTTTATTCAAAGCCTCAACAGCAGCTCTACAATCCATACTAATCACCACATCTGTAAGGCGCAAATCTCTGAGACTTTGTAGAACCCACAAAACACATCGTAGCTCCGTTATAATGCGGTTTGGAGAACAAGTAAAAGCCTCTCTCGCATGATACAAAACCTTTCCGGAATGATCCCTTGCAATCCAAGCTCCACCATTATGTAAAGAAGCATTACGCCAGGTAGAATGTAAATTACACTTAATCGTACCTAATGGAGGATGCTTCCAACGCATTAAGTCTCCTTGTTTTTCCGTTCGGATAGTCTCATCAATCTGCCTATTTGATTCATGCCATAAGACTGTGTCCTCAAAAGGTTGTTGAATCACTCTACTCAAAGCGGTTTGCTTTTGAGCATAAATAATTGTGTTTCGATTCTTCCACACATTCCACATTATCCAAGGGATTGCTACTTGAATCTCCTTTGTCAACCCAGTTCCGTCCATCAAATCCATAATGTAAGACATGTTATCTTCGAAGATATGAGAAAAACCAAGATGAGGACTTGTCACCCCGGCTAGAGACCATAGTTGTTGCGCCACACTACACTCAAACAAAACATGATTGATGGTTTCATGATGAGATTGACACAACTTACACTTAGGATCAATGTGTAAACCCCGAGCACCGAGACGATCTGCCACCGCCACCACTCCAGCTATAGCCCGCCACATGAAAAACCGGATTTTAGGTTGTGTTTTTATCTTCCAAACACGATTCTTCAATTCTACTTGTCTTTGCATAAGCGAACTTATCGACATAACGGAGTTACGCGAATGGTTAGACAAAAACCAATATCCGCTTTTAACAAAATAAGACCCATGGTGATTATATGCCCAAATTTCCCGATCTTGCATTCTCCCAATGTGCAAGTCCAAAATACGCA